TCTCCCTCTCTCTCTCTCTCTCCATCTCTGTATCTCTCTGTTTCTGTCTCTGTCTTTGTCTGGCTTCAAAGATACCACTTTTGGGTTTCATCTTTTTATTGGGACTGTTTCATAATATATGCTTTTAAAATTTTATTTTCACATACATGTACAGAGTAATTCTTGTTGAAGGTTGATTGATGCTCTAGTGTTTTTGGCTTCTACCTTTGTTTACTCAAACATGTATCATCTTATGTTACTCTCAAGTAACACCTCTAACCTTCGGCAATTATGTGACCTAATTGTGTTAAAAGAGCTGTAAAACTCTTACTTAATCTAAACGAAACCTTTTTATCCTGTGGCAGGTGGGAGACACCCCACTGGGATCATCACTCCTCTCTATATTGTACAGCCTGTACCAGATTGACGTCAACAGTCCTCACTGGTGAGTTACCGTTGTTGTTGTTGTTGCTGTGTGTGAGGTAGCCTATCCGTTCGAATGTTTGGAGCCCCAAAGAGCGTGCTCTTCGCCAGGAACATCGCTTCTGGTTGGCAAATAATCAGGGCCTCAAGTGTTTATTTATGCTCTGCAGTGAACCTCATTGTTTCTACCTTATCTGAGGCACAGGCTCGATCTACGATTCATGATTGTTTCTACGAGCTTCCCCTAATCTTCATGTTGCTGTTGTTGTTGTTGGGGTTTTTCTTTGTTTTTGTTTTGTATTTTTGTTTTATTTAGGGGGAGTTGGAGTGTAGATATGTAATTCCTAGGGACATTTTTGTTTTTCAATTTTTTTAATGCTATTGTTGATTTTCATTTTACCCTGATGGATATTTCACCTCACTTCATCAAATCTCACCTAAAAAATCATTCTATCTCACCCTCATCTTGCCCCATCTCTCCATATTCCATACCATCAAACCACCATCCCATCTCACTATATCCCATATATTCTAATCTCCATCTCGTCTCACTATAAACATTCCCACCCCCCTTCCTCCCATGGGTGGTTGGCGGGTGCTGAGATAAGGTTTGCTCCATTTTTCCTGTCAAACATCTATCACCCTGATCTCTTCTCCTTCTTTTGTGTCTTTGTTACTCTCTCGTAATACCTCTAATCTTCGGCTCCTATATGGCCTTATTGTGTTGCAAGTGCTGTAAAATGCTTTACTAAATTTTTAAAAACCCTCCCTCCCTCCCACTCTTCCCCT